GGACCGATTGGTCTTGTGTAATTTACTGGTCTCTTCCCCCTTTTGGTTGTTTCCGCCCTTTTTAGATATCTCTTCGACTTCCTCTCTGTAAACACCAGGGGTGCTAAACTCATTCCATGGAGGGCCTTGTGACTGTGGGTTTTTGGTTTTTCCTTTCAATGACAGACAACCAGGTGAGGGGAGTTCTTTACTAATTAGTGACCTTAATTCATCAGTCAAGTACAACGGAGGAGCGTCTACCCCCATACACTCCACTCTGGAATGAGTTTGACATGTGGTTTATATGGACCAACATCACATATTTTTGTTTGTTTCTGCCCTTTTCAGATATACATTTTTTATTTCACCTTTATTTAACCAGGTAAGCCAGTTGAGAACAAGTTCTCATTTACCTGACCTGGCCAAGATAAAGCAAAGCAGTGCGATAAAAACAACAACACAGAGTTACATATTGACTGTACGTTGTGTTTATCCCATAACATAATAGAAAATCTATATACAGTGTGTGAAAATGTAGTAAGTTATGGAGGTAAGGCAATACATAGGCCATAGTGCAAAATAATTACAATTTAGTATTAACACTGGGATGATAGATGTGCAGAAGATGATGTGCAAATAGAGATACTGAGGTGCAAATGAGCAAAATAAATAACAATATGGGGATGAGGTAGTTGGGTGGGCTGTGTACAGATGCAGTGATCGGTAAGCTGCTCGGACAACTGACGCTTAAAGTTAGTGAGGGAGATAAGAGTCTCCAGCTTCAGAGATTTTTGCAGTTCGTTCCAGTCATTGGCAGCAGAGAACTGGAAGGAATGGCGGCCAAAGGAGGTGTTGGCTTTGGGGTTGACCAGTGAGATATACCTGCTGGAGCGCAGGTGACCAATGAGCTAAGATAAGGCGGGGATTTGCCTAGCAGTGATTTATAGATGACCTGGAGCCAGTGGGATTGGCGACGAATATGTAGTGAGGGCCAGCCAACGAGAGTGTACAGGTCACAATGGTGGGTAGTATATGGGGCATTGGTGACAAAACGGATGGCACTGTGATAGACTACATCCAATTTGCTGAGTAGAGTGTTGGAGACTATTTTGTAAATGACATCGCCGAAGTCAAGGATCGGTAGGATAGTCAGTTTTACGAGGGCATGTTTGGCAGCATGAGTGAAGGAGGCTTTGTTGCGAAATAGGAAGCCGATTGGAGATGCTTAATGTGAGTCTGGAAGGAGAGTTTACGGTCTAACCAGACACCTAGGTATTTGTAGTTGTCCACATATTCTAAGTCAGACCCGCTGAGAGTAGTGATTCTAGTCAGGCGGGCGGGTGCAAGCAGCGTTCGATTGAAGAGCATGCATTTAGTTTTACTAGCATTTAAGAGCAGTTAGAGGCTACGGAAGCAGTGCTGTATGGTATTGAAGCTTGTTTGGAGGTTTGTTAACACAGTGTCCAATGAAGGGCCAGATGTATACAAAATGGTGTCGTCTGCGTGGAGGTGGATCTGAGAGTCACCAGCAGCAAGAGCTACATCATTGATATACACAGGGAATAGAGTCGGCCCGAGAATTGAACCCTGTGGCACCACCATAGAGACTGCCAGAGGTCCAGACAACAGGCCCTCCGATTTGACACATTGAACTCTATCTGAGAAGTAGTTGGTGAACCAGGCGAGGCAGTCATTTGAGAAACCAAGGCTATTTAGTCTGCCAATAAGAATGCGGTGATTGACAGAGTCAAAAGCCTTGGCCAGGTCGATGAAGACGGCTGCACAGTACTGTCTTTTATCGATTGCGGTTATAATATCATTTAGGACCTTGAGCGTGGCTGAGGTGCACCCATGACCAGCTCGGAAACCAGATTGCATAGCAGAGAAGGTACGGTGGGATTCGAAATGGTCGGTGATCTGTTTGTTAACTTGGCTTTCAAATACTTTCGAAAGGCAGGGCAGGATGGATATAGGTCTGTAACAGTTTGGATCTAGAGTGTCACCCCCTTTGAAGAGGGGGATGACCGCGGCAGCTTTCCAATCTCTGGGGATCTCAGACGATACGAAAGAGAGGTTGAACAGGCTAGTAATAGGGGTTGCGACAATTTCGGCGGCTAATTTTAGAAAGGGTCCAGATTGTCTAGCCCAGCTGATTTGTAGGGGTCCAGATTTTGCAGCTCTTTCAGAACATCAGCTATCTGAATTTGGGTGAAGGAGAAGCAGTGGGGGGGGGGCATGGGCAAGTTGCAGCGGAGTGTGCAGAGCTTGTGGCCGGGGTAGGGGTAGCCAGGTGGAAAGCATGGCCAGCCGTAGCAAAATGCTTGTTGAAATTTTCGATTACCGTAGATTTATCGGTAGTGACAGTGTTTCCTAGCCTCAGTGCAGTGGGCAGCTGGGAGGAGGTGCTCTTATTCTCCATGGACTTTACAGTGTCCCAAAACGTTTTGGAGTTAGTGCTACAGGATGCACATTTCTGTTTGAAAAAGCTAGCCTTTGCTTTCCTAACTGATTGTGTATATTGGTTCCTGACTTGCCTGAAAAGTTGCATATCGCGGGGGCTGTCCGATGCTAATGCAGTACGCCACAGGATGTTTTTGTGCTGGTCAAGGGCAGTCAAGTCTGGGGTGAACCAGGGGCTATATCTGATCTTAGTTCTGAATTGTTTTATGGGGCATGCTTATTTAAGATGGAGAGGAAAGCACTTTTAAAGAACAACCAGGCATCCTCTACTGACGGAATGAGGTCAATATCCATCCAGGATACCCGGGCCAGGTTAATTAGAAAGGCCTGCTCGCTGAAGTGTTTTAGGGAGCGTTTGACGGTGATGAGGGGTGGTCGTTTGACCGCGGACCCATTACGAATGCAGGCAATGAGGCAGTGATCGCTGAGATCCTGGTTGAAGACAGCGGAGGTGTATTTAGAGGGTAAATTAGTCAGGATGATATCTATGAGGTTACCCATGTTAACGGATTTAGGGTTGTACCTGGTAGGTTCCTTGATGTGAGATTGAGGGCATCTAGTTTAGATTGTAGGACGGCCGGGGTGTTAAGCATAACCCAGTTTAGGTCACCAAGCAATACGAACTCTGAGGATAGATGGGGGGCAATCAATTCACATATGGTGTCCAGGGCACAGCTGGGGGCTGAGGGGGGGCTGTAACAAGTGGCAACAGTGAGAGACTTATTTCTGGAAAGGTGGATTTTTAGAACTGTTTGGGCACAGACCTTGATAGTATGATAGAGCTCAGAAATATCTTCCTCACTGTTTATACCAACATCACATGTGCACCACCACTCAGTGTGCACAGGGAGCAGCAAATACATTTTCACCTTATCCAAAAAAATGGCAGACATTGGATGAATATAAAATGTTAACATCTTCGGCTGAGTGATGGTGAAAAAAAAATCGTCCTCAGCGACAATTATTTCATTAATTCAATGGTTGTTAAGTGCTCAAACTGTGATGACTAAAGTGTCTTATTAGGAATTTTCAAATCTGACTTCTCTATGTGTCCATGTATTGAAATTGTCTTTCTGGGCCGGCAATCAGAAGTACAGAAGCAAAACTGCAGTACAGAAGCAAAACTGTAGGATCAGTAGAAACCGTGCTTCTAGACCGGAACCCTGCCCCATTGGCTGCGAATTGGCAGGTCAGGTTCGAGAATGGTGTGTGCGCCTGTTCATTAGCTTCTTGTCTAGGTGGCGCATGCCGACTCGCAGATCCTTTAACATAAGAACAGAGTAATTTAATGAGCAATTCAGGTAGTTTATAGATGAAATACGCAGCGCCAAGCACACGACCGTGAATAAACCGGATATTTATTCACGCTGTCAGAGGAACTAGCTCGCTACTTAGCAATAAAAAGGTAAGTGTCTAATAGACTGAACCAGCACGTTAGCAAGACATATTGGCAAAACGTATCAATTATTGAATTTCAGTAGTAAGCTATAGTAATATTGGAATAAAGTATTCTAAATGACTCATTATTCCAAGTTCGTAATGTATACCCATTCTTCAATTACTACATATGTCATACTGCATCAGACTTCTGTTACACATTGTAATATTACACTCAACAGTCCACAATGTCATCATCACCATCAGCTATCTTTCTGTCCACGGACGTGTATAGCCCTGAATGAAATGCAGTGTCTAAAGTTAAAACTATGGGAGTAATGCTTCTGGTGGAAATTATCCCTCCAAAGATTAACTACTGAAAATCCAAGACTGGTAGTCTCGTAGGTACAGTAGCTATACAATACTTCACAAGTATTCGGCTCATGATAAAACCACATGGTCATGTAGACGATGTTGACTGAATAAGGAAGTTTTAAGAATGCAGATCAGGGAGCTTTAAATTGATCCTGTCTCTGAAATTTGGACTCAAATCTGAGTGCAAGGCATTCCATGGCTTTGAATCAGGGCAGAATCCACAGACCACAGTATGCCCATTACTGTGATGATTATATCCTCCATGTTATGTGAACCCTATTGCCCATCATCCATTGAAGACTGTTTGCTTTTTAGCATTATTGAATGCGATTAATGTTCTATGCATTTGTACCATAGTATTTCCACAGTATCAAGCGCTCCACATCCATGTTGCTTAGCAACTGAGTACTCTACTCATGCATGTCAACATTTGAAATAAATTTGTTCCAAAACACCTCTGCCTTCTCTATTCAACACTCAGTATATCAGACGCTCAGTAGTTGGTTTCAGAAATACAATTGCCAGTTTCCAGATAACCTCTTGATACATCCTACTTAATGTTGTGAAATCTGTTAGGAATGTATTGTAATGTTTTTTAAATGTATAACTGCCTTAATTTACCTGGACCCCAGGAAGAGTATGGGGATTCATAATAAATACAAATGAACACACACTTCATGCAAGTAGTGAATGTGTTCACTTCATGACAGACCTCAGATTTCTTCATAAACCTAAACTCTTTTATTTGATTATTGTATTTTTCCTTATCCATGTCTCCATCTCACCATTTTCTTTTTCCTCTAGCTGGAATGGAGAACAAAACAAATGGATCAGTGGAAGCCAAACTGTAAGTCTAGAGTCTAGGGGTTGTTCTTGTGAGGCTGTAGATGAGGGATAAGATTGTGCCGTCCTCCTATACCCATTTTCATGTTCTGTCCACTTTTTCTAGTGTGGTGGAGAATGGCCAGCTGCCGGACCCTGCAGACTGGGCATTCACTGATGTCGTCAACTATTTCAAAGCTGCAGGTTTTGAAGAGCAGGCTACTGCTTTCCAGGACCAGGTAAAGGAACAGAGTCATTTACTAACCTTGCAAGTTGCGCTTTGTTCTTCCCTCTCGTTCTCGTGGGTAAGCGCTTCCCAATCCCTTCTACTTGTTATTCTCGTAGGAAATCGATGGCAAGTCTCTGCTTCTGATGACTCGGAATGATGTCCTGACTGGCCTGTCTATCAAACTGGGGCCAGCACTGAAGATCTACGAGTACCACGTGAAACCACTTCAAACTCAGCACCTGAAGAGTAATGCTAATGCGTCATAGCATCACTGCATACTCCTCAATGTGTAACAAGATAATCATGAGGCAGGACGGCCAGAGCAGTCCGAAGACATTTATAGACCCTAGAGGACAGTGGAGGATGACATAGCTTAGAAAACTCTTGCGTGGTTGCATCTTGCATCCTTATGAAAATGAAATGTTTATTTTACTTAAACCGTTAACAGATGCCAAATGATTTGAGCCTTTCCGTCCTTTTACAAAGACGGTGATCAGTTTCTTGGTATTTAACTTGAGTGGTATCAGTTTATGAAATGAAACAAAGACTTTAATTCTTTGAGGTCTTGGACATCATAAGAACATTTTACAGGTCTTAAAAAGTACAGGTTTCATATTTTCTTTCTAAGAGTTAGTCTCAAAGCAAATCAAGCTCCTGAAGCAGATTCAACTGAATGGGTTATTTAATAGTGAACGATCCTTTTCAGATGGATGCAAAGGTGCACTAGATGTCTGATTGATCCATCTTCTACCCTTGTCCCATTGATATGATCAGTATATACCAAACTATCGAACAGTTTGATGCCAGCTAAGACTGGATGGTAATTAGTTGGAGGAAATGTACGTTTGAACTATACTTCCTGTTCCTCCATTACTGCCATTTTCTTTTCCTAATAAGACACTTTCACTTGATCAAAGCTGTATATATGAGAACTATGCACTTCAATGGTCAATTTAAGCACAGGGGATATAGGTTGATGAATGTGTTCTTTGATTTCCTTAATTATTTTATCTTAAATATGGCATTTTACTTTTGTGTTTGATGTGGATGTTTTTATCACGCATATCAACAGTGGCATGCTGCTTCCTTTTGTATTGTAAAGGTGCTCTGTTCGCATTTTGCTGTTATAAAACTACTTGCATCTTAAGTAATGATTTGAGATGTACCACTGTCAGTCTTACCCAAGAACGATTAGCAAAACACAATCATGTAGAGAAAGAAGTGTTAATTTCTAAATACAAAAAGTCAAGAACAATGATGAATAAAATAGAATCATAGAAAAGGCACAATAATTTACTTGAAAACCACACTGTGCCATGAAAATTAAACCCGTCTCATCGTATCCTCTTAAGGTGGTTGGCTGAAAATAGATGGCAAGTCTTCCTGACATGTTCTACACTTCATAAGATTCGGTGGCAGTGGATTGCCGTTGGCAATGAGGAGCAGTGTTGAGGTCAACTTTTTCCCTGTAGCATCAAAACGAAGGCCTGCGAGACAGGAAAATACAGAGGTACAGAGACACTGCGATACTTGCACATTAAAGAAACAGGTATTTATCTGTAATGCAATCAAAGACTAGCATGGCATAGAGAATCTTTCACTTTAGTGTGGCTTACAGGCCAATCAAGGCAAGAATCTCAATTGCATACGCCCCGCGTCCTCCTTCTCAAAACCCATTGGCTGAGAAAGCAAGAGGTCTTACCCTCTGACCTTGCTACCCAGACTCGTTAGTTAATTCTCCGCAATGAATCTGGATCTGAGTACCTCCCTGACCTTTCACCGAATGCAAACACATTCGGGGCTGTCTGATTGGTCCAGAAACCGATGGGTTAGGCCAGAGCCAGAACACATGTGGGTAAAGCGGTGGTTTGAAAAATCTTTTTTTTTGTCATTTCGCGGACACTCTTATCCAGAGCGACATACAGTTAGTGAGTGCATACATTTTCATAATAGTCTTTGATACTCTGATTGGTTAGAGACAATTCAATCGCTAATTACTTTCGTACAATGCCCTTCGTCACCATAAATGACTTAAATGATGGCAGTCTCAGACTAAAGTATGTAGCAAACGACGACAGAGCAGAAAAATTGTGTAAGTCGTCAGGCTACCTCCAACAATCGCCTTCAATGGGTTTTGAGAAGGTGAGGAGAGAGGACACGAGGAGTATGCAATTTATATTCTCCCAAGGACTACATACACCAAACCCATGGAGGTTTTGACAAGAGAAGAGGTACTCACCAAAGAATGCTGCGGTCTGTCTGTCCTATGGGTCGTTCTCACAAGAAGGAGCACACCTTCTGTGGTCTGAAGGGGTTGGTGCTGGAGGAGACCCCGGTGAGCAGGGGGTCATGGAGGGCATTCTGCATGCAGAACTGCTGAAGGTCTGCAGCTGCCTGGGATACCTGAAAAGACAATCCAGTATTATAGCTGTGAAAAGGAAGCTCTAGCGGTTGCAACTTATTGCACTCCTAACTAGCTAGACTCCTACAAGTCTGTAAATATCCTCAAATGGGTGTTGTCAATATTTTTTACCTTTATTTAACTAGGCAAGTCAGTTAAGAACAAATTCTTATTTACAATGACAGCCTACCAAAAAGGGACAAAAACGTATATATGACCAAACACACATCACAACAAGAGACAACAACACTACATAAAGAGAGACCTACAGTGCCTTGCAAAAGTATTCACCCCCCTTGGCGTTTTTCCTATTTTGTTGCATTACAACCTGTAATTTAAATGGATTTTTATTTGGATTTCATGTAATGGACATACACAAAATAGTCCAAATTGGTGAAATGAAAAAAATTACGTGTTTCAAAAAATTCAAAAAATAAATAACTGAAAAGTGGTGCGTGCTTATGTATTCACCCCCTTTGCTATGAAGCTCCTAAATAAGATCTGGCGCAACCAATTAAATTCAGAAGTCACATAATTAGTTAAATAAAGTCCACCTGTGTGCAATCTAAGTGCCACATGATCTCAGTATATATACAGTGGGGAGAACAAGTATTTGATACACTGCCGATTTTGCAGGGTTTCCTACTTACAAAGCATGTAGAGGTCTGTAATTGTTATCATAGGTACACTTCAACTGTGAGAGACGGAATCTAAAATAAAAATCCAGAAAATCACATTGTATGATTAAGTAATTAATTTGCATTTTATTGCATGACATAAGTATTTGATCACCTACCAAACAGTAAGAATTCCGGCTCTCACAGACCTGTTAGTTTTTCTTTAAGAAGCCCTCCTGTTCTCCACTCATTACCTGTATTAACTGCACCTGTTTGAACTCATTACCTGTATAAAAGACACCTGTCCACACACAATCAAACAGACTCCAACCTCTCCACAATGTCCAAGACCAGAGAGCTGTGTAAGGACATCATGGATAAAATTGTAGACCTGCACAAGGCTGGGATGGGCTACAGGACAATAGGCAAGCAGCTTGGTGAGAAGGCAACAACTGTTGGCGCAATTATTAGAAAATGGAAGAAGTTCAAGATGACGGTCAATCACCCTCGGTCTGGGGCTCCATGCAAGATCTCACCTCGTGGGGCATCAATGATCATGAGGAAGGTGAGGGATCAGCCCAGAACTACACAGCAGGACCTGGTCAATGACCTGAAGAGAGCTGGGACCACAGTCTCAAAGAAAACAATTAGTAACACACTACGCCATCATGGATTAAAATCCTGCAGCGCACGCAAGGTCCCCCTGCTCAAGCCAGCGCATGTCCAGGCCCGTCTGAAGTTTGCCAATGACCATCTGGATGATCCAGATGAGGAATGGGAGAAGGTCATGTGGTCTGATGAGACAAAAATATAGCTTTTTGGTCTAAACTCCACTCGCTGTGTTTGGAGGAAGAAGAAGGATGAGTACAACCCCAAGAACACCATCCCAACCGTGAAGCATGGAGGTGGAAACATCATTCTTTGGGGATTATTTTCTGCAAAGGGGACAGGACGACTGCACTGTATTGAGGGGAGGATGGATGGGGCCATGTATCGCGAGATCTTGGCCAACAACCTCCTTCCCTCAGTAAGAGCATTGAAGATGGGTCGTGGCTGGGTCTTCCAGCATGACAATGACCCGAAACACACAGCCAGGGCAACTAAGGAGTGGCTCCGTAAGAAGCGTCTCAAGGTCCTGGAGTGGCCTAGCCAGTCTCCAGACCTGAACCCAATAGAAAATCTTTGGAGGGAGCCGAAAGTCCGTATTTCCCAGCTACAGCCCCGAAACCTGAAGGATCTGGAGAAGGTCTGTATGGAGGAGTGGGCCAAAATCCCTGCTGCAGTGTGTGCAAACCTGGTCAAGACCTACAGGAAATGTATGATCTCTGTAATTGCAAACAAAGGTTTCTGTACCAAATATTAAGTTCTGCTTTTCTGATGTATCAAATACTTATGTCATGCAATTAAATGTAAATTCATTACTTAAAAATCATACAATGGGATTTTCTGGATTTTTTAGATTCCGTCTCTCACAGTTGAAGTGTACCTATGATAAAAATTACAGACCTCTACATGCTTTGTAAGTAGGAAAACCTGCAAAATCGCCAGTGTATCAAATACTTGTTCTCCCCACTGTACACCTGTTCTGAGCACTATTAAATCCATTATTAAAAAATGGAAAGAATATGGCACCACAACAAACCTGCCAAGAGAGGGCCGCCCACCAAAATTCACAGACCAGGCAAGGAGGGCATTAATCAGAGAGGCAACAACGAGACCAAAGTTAACCCTGAAGGAGCTGCAAAGCTCCACAGCGGATATTGGAATATCTGTCCATAGCACCACTTTAAGCCGTACACTCCAAAGAGTCGGCAGAAAAAGCCATTGCTTAAAGAAAAAAATAAGCAAACACGTTTGGTGTTCCCCAAAAGGCATGTGGGAGATTCCCCAAACAAATGGAAGAAGGTACTCTGGTCAGATGAGACTAAAATTGAGCTTTATGGCCATCAAGGAAAATGCTATGTCTGGCGCAAACCCAACACCTCTCATCACCCCAAGAACACCATCCCCACAGTGAAGCATGGTGGTGGCAGCATCATGCTGTGGGGATGTTTTTCCCCATCGGCAGGGACTGGGAAACTGGTCAGAATTGAAGGAATGATGATGGCGCTAAATACAGGGAAATTCTTGAGGGAAACCTGTTTCAGTCTTCCAAAAATTTGAGACTGGGATGGAGGTTCACCTTCCAGCAGGACAATGACCCTATGCATACTGCTAAAGCAACACTCAAGTGGTTTAAGGGGAAACATTTAAATATCTTGCAATGGCCTAGACAAAGCCAGACCTCAATCCAATTGAGAATATGTGGTATGATTTAAAGATTGCTGTACACCAGCAGATGTGCCAACCTTATAGAGACATACCCCAATATACTTGCAGCTGTAATTGCTGCAAACGGTGGCTCTACAAAGTGGGGGGGTGGGTGAACAGTTATGCACGCTCAAGTTCAGTTTTTTTGTCTTATTTCTTGTTTGTTTCACACACAAAAAATATTTTGCAAAGTGGTAGACATGTGTAAATCAAATGATACAAACCCCCAAAAAAATCAATTTTAATTCCAGGTTGTAAGGCAACAAAATAGGAAAAATGTCAAGGGGGGTGAATACTTTCGCAAGGCATTGTAAGACAACATAGCATGGCAACAACATGGCAGCAGCACAGCATTGTAGCAGCACAAGACATGGTACAAACATACAATAATATGGTGTGAACACAGTATGGTGTGTAGGCCGTCATTGTAAATAAGAATAAAGGTTAAATAAAAAAAAACAGATCCTTGAATTAACGTTAGGCTTTTCCTGCTGTTCAATGACTGTTGGGAATAATTATCCTGGGGCGTTATGCCACACAGGCACACTCAATATCGGCCATTAGCCTCTAGACCCATTAACTAACAATTTAATTGGAGATAATTTAGCAGAAGATTAGGTTTTCATGGCTATATCTCCATTTGTGTGCCTAGACTCCACGCCCTTAGCGCTAGCAAGCTACTGATGCTAGCGGACCAGTTTCCTGGGCATGTTTACCAAATAGATTTACGTGTGAAATATATTATTACCTTCACTCTGTTTATGCTCGCTTCCAAACGTAGCTGCTGGACAACTTTCTTCATCGCAACGAGGTTTGATGGCCCAGACATCTTTACTATTTTCTAGAAATGAAGCGATGGGCTGTTAGCTCGACGAACGCGCAGACAAAGCACCGATGATCACACATCCGGTTGTGACTATTTTGCGCAGTCGCAGCGTGGCACAGTAAGCGACCGCACCTCCTGTTATAAACCGCTAGGGGGCGCCAAGCACAAAATGTTGGAAAATTGATAGAAACAAAAACAATACGTTTATTGCAATTTCAGAGCAGCATTTATGATAGCACTTAAAATGTCAAACATTTATAAAGTTCTCATTAAAATATTCATGTTCTATCTGGCGTGAAACATTCCCATGGATAGTCAGTAGCCTATTGATAGCTTTTCCCAAATTGGAAAATATCTGTAGTGATATGGAACCCCAATTTCAGGTTTGGCTGCCACTTGGCTAAAGCTTAGAGACTTGGAGATGCTTTGCTTAATAAAAATCTATATAGAAGAGAAATAAAAAACATTGGCATGTCCAATAAAGTGCTCTCTGATTGAATCAAGTTTTGGTGAATGACAATGTGCCACTGTTCAGTATTATTAGTCCGTGATCAAGCAACATGAGTTGCACAAAAATAGGTCTCCGTGGCATCCTGAGGCAGTGGTGGTGTTGAAACATGGGTCATGTTCATTAGGGCACGCAACAGAAAATGTTTTGCAACAGGAAGAAAAAAAATGAGTGCATCTTATTGGACAAATCCAGATATTCTTTCCCTGTTTCAGTCCATTGTCTTCTGTTTGGTGCCTAATTAACAACGCCATGGATTGTCATCTGAGTTGTCGGTTGAGTCCACAGTAATATAATGGTACTGGAGTGTGTCTTCAGGTGAGGCTGTTTTCCTCTGACCCTAACGAGAAGATACTGCAACAGTCTCCACCTCCCTGTCTGTGCTTTGACCTGACCGGAGTGTCTTCTCTACTGTGGATGGTGTTGGACTCCTGCCAGCTCCCTCATTTTGAACTGCCTACGGAAGAGGAGCTTAGGGATTGATAGAGAACAAACAAGCGTTAACCACAGTTTGTTTGAGAGAACTTAAGTTAGTGAGGATCAATGATACCGATTTGATTGGATTTGAGACTATTATCTAATGTAGGAATCAAAATTAAAAAAGGGATTTATCTCACAAAACCATAATGACTACCAAATATCACCCCGACTGATGACTACTACAGTAAGCTGGTATAGAGCGAAGTAACTAGTAAACTGTACCTCCTGTCTGGTATGAGGCATAATGTGCGGTAGAGATCAGCTGTGGAGGGCATGCCAGCGTCAGATGCAGATTTAGGAGTCGAGAACGCAGTGTGTGTCCGGGATTTGGTCAGCATGGCAGGGGTGGAGGGGATACTCATCTCTGGTTCACTACCTAGAGGGGAACAGGGACTGTGACCAACCACTCAAAACACCATATGATTCACAAAAGATCATTCGTGTGGTTTTTTTGTGGCGATGCCGTATTAAACAGTCTGCTGCCCATCTTCCAATGCAATATTTTCTACACAAATTTCCAAACAGAATCAGCAATATTCATTTTCCATTAATCCCGATCTGGATTAGCAATACGAATTGTTGCTGTGGCAATCATCATGACTTACTGATTGATAAGGCACGAGGAGTTTCTGACGTGGAATGTCTTTTACGGTCCACGAACGGAGTCATGTTCAAGAACTGATTCTTGAGCCACGAGGCACGGTCTTCCTCAAAAGCCCTTTTCTGTCAAAACACAAAGGAAAAAAGGGGTAAGACGCAGTTAAGTGACAACTTAACAAAATATAACAGTTCCAACTCGAGAACTTGCCAAAAACAAAATGGATACCTCATGACCGAGGCGAATGGCAGCGTCAGTAAAGTTATTTCTCTCCCTCTCAAAGTTCCTCCTCTGCTCGTCAAAGAGCCTCCACTCCTCTTTAAGACGCTCCTTCTCCTCCAGAGTGTAGCAGTCATTCAGCAGAGCGGCAGTCTCGTCATCATAGCAGGGAGAGTTGAGCTGCTGCTACGCACAGAAGGAAAGGGAAACGGATATAACACTTGACTGAGTAACTCCTGTAAGGGTCAAATTCAAGGCAATAACAACAGATGTACTGTAGATCAAATCAAATCTTATGTCACATGCGCCAAATACAACTGGTGTATACTTTACCATAATAAAAATAAAATAGTAACACAAAAGGAATAAAATAAAATACACAAGAATGGAGCTACATACAGGGAGTACCAGTACCAGATCAATGTGCAGAGGTAAGATGTATTTGAGGTAGATATGTACATGAAGGCAGATATTTGTAGCTCGGTTTGAAAAGAGAGTCTTGTGTTGCGTTGTGGGTCTAACTAACCTGTAGGAGTTGCTGTTGGGTCTGGATAAAGTCTTTACACTGCTGGACCTCCAGTCTCATCCTCTCCATCTCCTCCTCTTGGATCTGTCTGGGGACCAGCTCTTTACCAGCACACTGCTGGCTCTGCTGCACCAGGGAGGCTGGGAGGTGGATGATACAACACATTATGATCAATGGTGGAGAAGAAAGCTCCCTGTGACATATAGAATGTCTTGGTAGCAGAGTAGTTTAAAATGCAGTTGTACTGGTAGTGATTTTATGGCAGTCAGCCATAAATGGATTATTTCATTTGCCTTCATGTAACACCAGTTGATGACCAGAGAAAGCCAGTGATGACTACTAGGGGAGTTACAGATTGTCTACTTCCATGATAATATGCATGATATGTGTTGGTACCCTGGCTGTCCAGTCTCTCCATGTGGCTCTTTAGTCTCCTCCACTGCTGTCGGATGCTATTGGTCAGCTTCTCCCGGGCGTGCTCACAGGACTGGTCCCTAGCATGATCACATGACTGATCCAGGGTCTCCCTACTGCAGTCACCAACCTCCTCCTCCCTGTCTGGGCTGGCCTGAAAGCACAACGATAGGCATGATCACTCCTCTACTCTCCACTATGTTTATAGCGAAATGTCAATTCCATACTATGTAAAACGCTTTGAGATTTTGTGAATGGCTCTGCATAGACATGATTCCTGAGTATTTTTTAAAATACATTTATCTAATCCATCTATTACCACGTAAAAATAACTATGTAGACTATTGCTACGGTGTCTCAGATAGGACAATCCATCAATTTACCCGTTCCAGGCTGTCTTCCATACGGTCTCCTCTGGAGCTGGAGCAGGATTTCCTAGGACTAGGACTCAGAATGGACACCATCTCCCTCTTCATCTGCTGCAGCACCTTCTTTAGCTCAGCGTTCTCCAGCATCAGGGCCCTCTGACGACCCTCGTAGTCACTCAGCAGGGACTTGTACATCTCCCCCTCATGTCTACAATCATGGCAAATAAACACATACTCGTCAAAGTGGGATCTCCAAAGCTATGTAGGATTTGTTGCATCAAGAGTTGATGAAAGCACCCAAAACAGACATGGTTCAGTTAGATGAGTATTGCTACCTGGCCTCCACCTTTCCAGTCTTCCATTGGCTTCTCTTCCCATCAGCCCGTCCCAAGTAGTTCAATACATCAATCGCTAGTAGAGATAAAGGGAGGGAAAATGGGAATGAGGGACTTGCTATATAGGCCTACATCATTTTCAGTCTTCTCAGTAAAAAATAATAAAAGAGGACACTTGGTTGCAAACATATTCACATTTCCAACAACCTTTGGAATAAGGAGGAGGAAACAATTGTCTTGAGATCATGCTCCAGCACCCCTACCTAGTTTCTTATCCCTCTTGTCCACCAGTAGCTGGTTGAGGCGTTCTTTGAGCTTGGCGCTCTCCCTCTCCTTCCTCTTGGCGTCATGGCTGTACTGAGAGGCTCTGCTGGCGATGATGCTCTGGAGCTTCTGCACCTGGGGTGTGTTCAGTAGGGAGAAAACGTTTTGAAACTGGGATGTACTACCTGAATCTATCCAATAAGAACACAAGAGTTTTGTTTTCGCTTACAAAATGTTTTGCTATGGTGTGCACTACTGAGCAAGATGCTGGTTAAGACTCACACACTCAAAACTACATTTCCCATGGATGCTTGCAGCTACGTAAGCACATCACTCAATGATTAACAATTTTACCTCATCTTTTTCTGTTTTCAGGCAGTTCTGCAGAGTCTTGTTTTTGAGTTGCAGCTGCCTTTCTGCCTCGTGCAGTATTGACTTCTCTCTTTTGTAGAGCTCCAGCTGATCCTTTGGACAATTACATACTTTCTGTACATGTTACATCAACACAATTTTGCATACGCAATATGTGCTCACCTTGACGACAAGGTCATAACAATAGCATGTTGTATTCTAAGCAGTAAGCACCTTTCAGGACACCCTCAAACCTCAACTTAGCTCCCCAAGCTAGTATTTACTGACATTTTGCACCCTGCCTGGAAAACGATCTATGGGGAAGACTGCCTCACTGACCTTGAGTCTGGAGTTGGTAATCTGCAGGTGTTCCAGGGCGCTGGAGCACTTCAGCTGCTCGGTCTCCTGCTCCTGCAGGCTGCGCTGGCTTCGGTGGTGCATCTGGAGCAGCTCATACATGACGTTCAGGGCTGGCACCGTGTTCAGCCCCCCGCTTCCCTCTGGTGAACTGGACTCAATACAGGCAGAGGAGAACCCCAGAGACTCCATCTCCTGTACAAGCCCCAAAAGAGGGCAGACAAATGGGTTAGCAGCATACAGTGAAAATTAAACTAGATCAATGAATAATCATTGAGCAACTTCAGATACACAAAACCACAAATCAAGCAGTAAAATAAGCATCAAGTACATAAACAAGTAGCACATTACACAAAGCCACTCAGAGTATTGAAAGAGTATGGATTTTTCCAAATGTAGCCTAAGTAATATTAATTTCAGTACCTGATTGATGTATGAGGTACACTGGGGAACATTCTCCTCAGTGCAGAAGGCACTTAACACATTGTGCATTGTAGGAAGGTTGTTATGATGCCTCGAGGGGGACAGCGTCATTCTTGATATGCTGGAGATCTCATGGTTTTCTAAACACAGCAGGGAAATAGAGATAACAACCAATTGATCAATCACAAGTTGACAGGCAGCTATGAGGCAAAAAAATTAAAAAGTGCACAAAAATAGGGCTAGATCCCACACCATCTAACATAAATCCATTTAAAAACAAAAAATTGTCTATTTTGTCCCCGGGTCCCCATTTGAATTAAATTACCTATTGATGGCTCTATGGTTGCTGTCGTCCACCAGTCTCCCATGTCAACACAGCGTCAGGACCCTTGGGAGGTCATCCGCGAGATGACAGACCGACCGACCGGAGGCTGCACTCACTGGAACAGAATCCTGAAATAGAGCATCAAGTCAGTGACATAAGACTCCAATGCAGGATAATCTGGGTCGATTCTTCACTAACGCCATGCGGAATTAAACGTAATCTGTGTGTTGTGCCAGCATGGGACGGGTTGGGGGTGGGTAGGGCTTTCAGGCCTAGGCTGTTACACTGGATTGTTGTAGAGTGATACTTTGAGCTTGAGTAAAGATAGTTTGCATGTTAACTTTAACTAGGCTGTCTGTGGCTGTATGCCAGAGGATGGCTGACCCACACAGAGAGGCCACTGACTGCGGTGTGTGAAAGGTTTAATTAAGAATGTCAGTGGCATTGAATTCAAAATGCTTAGTTTGAGAAAAATGGCTTTAACAGAGGCAACTGCAGACTCGCACTTAATTGTTCCCTTTGACTCTATAATATGATCCTTAAGATTTTCCTGGTGAAACAAGCTCAACCACATTCTACACTCTCGCCACTCCCCTTTAAATAGGTAACAGTACAGTTCTCGACAAACTCTGTTTAAACATACATTGTGCATTGTAGACTTAAGTATAGTAGTATCGACTTGTGACGGCCGGCCCCCCAACAACCTGCCCGCTTGACCCTATCCCCTCCTCTCTTCTCCAGACCATTTCCGGAGACCTTCTCCCTTACCTCACCTCGCTCATCAACTCATCCTTGACCACTGGCTATGTCCCTTCTGTCTTCAAGAGAGCGAGAGTTGCACCCCTTCTCAAAAAACCTACACTCGATCCCTCCGATGTCAACAACTACAGACCAGTATCCCTTCTTTCTTTTCTCTCCAAAACGCTTGAGCGTACCGTCTTTAGCCAACTCTCTTGTTATCTCTCTCAGAATGACCTTCTTGATCCAAACCAGTCAGGTTTCAAGACTGGTCATTCAACTGAGACTGCTCTTCTCTGTGTCACGGAGGCTCGCCGCACTGCTAAAGCTAACTCTCTCTCCTCTGCTCTCATTCTTCTAGACCTATCTGCTGCCTTTGATACTGTGAACCATCAGATCCTCTCCACCCTCTCCGAGTTGGGCATCTCCGGCGCGGCTCACTCTTGGATTGTGTCCTACCAAGTGGCGTGGCGAGAATCTGTCTCTGCACCACATGCTCTCACCACTGGTGTACCCCAGTTCTAGGCCCTCTCCTATTCTCTCTATACACCAAGTCACTTGGCTCTGTCATATCCTCACATGGTCTCTCCTATCATTGCTACGCAGACGACACACAATTAATCTTCTCCTTTCCCGTTCTGATAACCAGGTGGCGAATCGCATCTCTGCATGTCTGGCAGACATATCAGTGTGGATGACGGATCACCACCTCAAGCTGAACCTCGGCAAGACGGAGCTGCTCTTCCTCCCGGGGAAGGACTGCCCGCTCCATGATCTCGCCATCACGGTTGACAACTCCGTTGTGTCCTCCTCCCAGAGTGCAAAGAACCTTGGCGTGACCCTGGACAACACCCTGTCGTTCTCCACTAACATCAAAGCGGTGACCCGATCCTGTAGGTTCATGCTCTACAACATTTGCAGAGTACGACCCTACCTTACACAGGAAGCGGCAAAGGTCCTAATCCAGGCACTTGTCATCTCCCGTCTGGATTACTGCAACTCGCTGTTGGCTGGGCTCCCTGCCTGTGCCATTAAACCCCTACAACTCATCCAGAACGCTGCAGCCTGTCTGGTGTTCAACCTTCCCAAGTTCTCTCACGTCACCCCGCTCCTCCGCACACTCCACTGGCTTCCAGTTGAAGCCCGCATCTGCTACAAGACCATGGTGCTTGCCTACGGAGCTGTGAGGGGAACGGCACCTCCGTACCTTCAGGCTCTGATCAGTCCCTACACCCAAATGAGGGCATTGCGTTCAATCCACCTCTGGCCTGCTGGTCCCCCTACCTCTGCAGAAGCACAGTTCCCGCTCAGCCCAGTCAAAACTGTTCACTGCTCTGGCACCCCAATGGTGGAACAAGCTGCCTCACGACGCCAGGACAGCGGAGTCACTCAACACCTTCCGGAGACACTTGAAACCCCACCTCTTTAAGGAATACCTGGGATAGGATAAAAGTAATCCTTCTACCCTCCCCCTACCCCACCCCCAAAAATAATACAAATAAAACTGATATAGAAAAAATGGGATATATTGTAAAGTGGTTGTCCCTCTGGCTATCATAAGGTGAATGCACCAATTTGTAAGTCGCTCTGGATAAGAGCGTCTGCTAAATGACGAAAATGTAAATGTAAATCTAGACCTGAGTGTCTCAATTGCCTTGGGCAACACGTGATACCACCACAGTAGAAGGTAAGTCGAGCCACAGTGGCAACAGCCATGTAAGAAAGCAGTGGGAAAACACCTTCTAAGGCGCCCTTATCCACTGACCCAGGCTGCATCTTATGTACACTGATACTCACTCCCATTTAACCAAAGATACTGGTTTCCTCTTTTGTCTGATTTAACTTTGCCCTATGTCACACTGGAGGCAAAGTTACCACATCCACTGTGCCTCCATCTAAATCCAAGAAGAGCAACCAACTAGCTAGCTAACAAGAAGCAAACATTTTAGCTAGTGTTGACATTATCATTGGGTGAATACACAGTCAACACACTTAGGCACATTTTCATACAGTATTTAACGCAGTGTTTTACCCAAAAGGCTCAGACTTTTCTGTTTCCATCTATGGGGACAAAGCCAGGCCAATGGTACTTTTCAGATGGCATTTACATAACACTGGCTAACTATGAACTTTAACACCTTCTCACAAAGCGACTGCTTTGATTATGCATAGATTATTGATTCTGATTGGTCCTCTGTAGCTCAATTGGTAGAGCATGGCGCTTGTAACACCAGGGTAGTGGGTTCGATACACGGGACCACCCATATGTACAAATGTATGCACACATGACTGTAAGTCCTCACTGTCAGCCCTAGCTATGAAGAAATAATTTCCCTAGTATAACATAAGGGTGTGTATACAAGTATAACACTGGTATTACAGTCGAAAAGCAGTAGCTATAACATTCCTACTGTTTGCTTCTTCTTATCATCTGCCACTGAGTCAAATAAACAAACGGGGCTCATTTGAAAACGTAGTCACAAATGTAGTTACAAGCCAAGTTAAAGTTAGCTAGCAAACGTCAGCTGTCTAACGTTAACTAGTCACTATTTTTAGCTACTATTAATCTGTTCTTGAACTGGTTTACCTACAGTTACTTTACCTAGCCAGATAGAAAGCTGCTAGCTCCTGCAGTAGCTAGCTAACTCCGTTTTGATGAAACGTTGGTTGTATAATAGCTATGTGTGTATAAAGTTAACTAGCTAACGAAGCTAGCAAGGCCATGGCTGAATAGTGGATACTCACTTGACTTGATTAGCCTGCCTTAGTGCCTGCACAGGCAACTCTATGCGAATCCGAGAATGCTAGCGTAGCATACAATGTCGTCTATGTCTAGTTCTTGACAGTGAATGCCAAGCCACTTGAATGATTCTGCTCACATTGACTCACTGTGGCCCAGTTGATCCCACATTCACAAAGTTTTTTTTTAAACGTTTTTTTTTAAAAAGGGGACCTCTTTCTGGCTTCAAAATAAACACCACGGTCATTGGCGAATGCGTTGTCAAGCAATCAGTATCAGTCCGCTGTATTGGATCATGCGCAGACCATTGACGGACTATTTATGCAAAATAAAGAAGTCAGGTGCATTGTAGTTCTTTTCTAATGTGATTTACACCCACACAAGTGGATCGCTAGTGTTTTATGTTAATGTAGGCTCTAGTGCAGGGCCGACCAAACTCGGGCCCGCGGTTCAGTTTGGCCGCCAGTTTCCCAAAAAATATCATTTTAATTTTTAGGAACTTAGTCTGGGTGTCAATTTACTGTTGAGATTTAGAAAATTAGAATACACAAGGTGCACTTTCGAAATTTGGTAGTGCATCTGCAGTTTTCCACTTCTTATGTCAGTCACTGATTGCCACTCAATGAGCCCATGTCAGCTAACATTATTTAGATCACTAGGTAAGAGTCTAGCCAGCTCTCTAAACCTTGTAGTAGGCTAATCATCACCAAATTACTGACCAGGCATGCAGGGCATGTGCCCAGGGGCCCCCATTGATGTTGTTAGTCACTCTATCTAATATGAACATATATGAATTGCAGGAAATTAGCTTTAAAACTGCAGAAGTTTCTCACCACCCCATAGCAAAATGTGTAAAATGGCAGGAAATTAGCTTTAAAACTGCCAAAAAAATATGAACCTCATGGCAGAATGAGTAGAATTGCATGAAATTCGTTTTAAAACCGCAACATTTTCTCTATACCACATGGCAAAATGTGTAGGATTGCAGAAAATGTACTTTAACTGGTAGTGCTGGTAGAGCACGGCGCTTGTAACGCCAAGGTAGTGGGTTCGATCCCCGGGACCACCCATACACAAAAAAAAAAATGTATGCACGCATGACTGTAAGTCGCTTTGGATAAAAGCGTCTGCTAAATGGCATATTATTATTATTATTATTTAAAAAAGTATCCACTGCCAAGAGGAGGGGGGGACACCAAACCAAATGTCGCTTAGGGCCGCATAAAGGCTAGAGGCGCTTATGCCTGATGAGCTCTGATGTTTTTCTCAACTTTCCAATGCATTTTAGTGACTTACTGCTGCAAAGACAAATTGTTAAACCTTTCCCATAGTCAAGTGATTTGAAACATATTCAAAAAGTAAATGTTAAGTGGAAAAAATGAAAAGTGAAAGAAACTAGAAAGTTCGAACTGCATAAACCTATTTGAACTTGGCGCTAGAAGGTGTAGTATGGTCTAGGCTAGTCTAGAGAGCAATAATACCACGCAAGCAAAAAAACAACACTATCAGACATCTTAAATCGTGGTCCTCTGTAGCTCAGCTGGTAGAGCACAGCACTTGTAATGCCAAGGTAGTGGGTTCGATCCCCGGGACCACCCATACACACACAAAAAAAAAAAGATGTCACATCATTTATTATAGTAATTTGTCTGATGATCATAATACATGTATTTGATGTGTTCAGACTCAATCTTGGTAAAATAGTATTATTCTATAATTGATGTATTCAAATAGCTACAGTTTTCTTAAAAATGAATTCAGAAGTGTTAGATAGAACCTTATTGCTGAACCCAGATTGACATTTCAGAGCCATAAGGTTATACTGTATCTGAGATTGCTCCCCCCTAAAAAAACAGATTTACAAATGTCTCAGGATTTTGATACTCTGCCATTTAGGTACCTTTAAGGTGAGGACCTTAATGGGTTATGAAAGAAGAATTCACTACAAAACAGTTCTGAGATCTGGGATGTGAAAATATTGATAATCATTATCTCAGAACTTTGCATTGCGTATTCAGAACCTTATTGTCCCAAGGTCACGATTTCTAAATACATAACGTCTATTTGTTTGGCCCGCGGCCCACCACTCAGATTATGTTTTGGCACACCAAGCCCAAAGGTTTGAGAAGACCTGCTCTAGTGTAATTGTGTTTCCATCCGGAGTGTGACACTAAAGACTTGGGGCGAGCACAATCAACAACCTCTGCATCATTCAAGACAGTTGCTTTGTGATAAGGTTTTGAAGTTCACAGTTAGCCATTGTTATGTAAATGCAATCTGAAAAGTACCCAAGTCTGGGCATGTCTGCCGGAGCCATGGCCCAGTGAGACACGGGTGCCGGCCCACATAGATGGAAACAGAAAAATCTGTTTTTTGGGTAAAACACCAGGATAAATCCTAACTGGAAACTCGCCATTAGCCCACTGATTTAGCCTACCTATGAGTGATATGAGTGAATGCACGCATTTCCTCTACTACAGTGGGGAAACAAGTATTTAGTCAGCCACCAATTGTGCAAGTTCTCCCACTTAAAAAGATGAGAGAGGCCTGTAATTTTCATCATAGGTACACGTCAACTATGACAGACAAATTGAGAAAAAAAATCCAGAAAATCACATTGTAGGATTTTTAATGAATTTATTTGCAAATTATGGTGGAAAATAAGTATTTGGTCACCTACAAACAAGCAAGATTTCTGGCTCTCACAGACCTGTAACTTATTCTTTAAGAGGCTCCTCTGTCCTCCACTCGTTACCTGTATTAATGGCACCTGTTTGAACTTGTTATCAGTATAAAAGACACCTGTCCACAACCTCAAACAGTCACACTCCAAACTCCACTATGGCCAAGACCAAAGAGCTGTCAAAGGACACCAGAAACTAAATTGTAGACCTGCACCAGGCTGGGAAGACTGAATCTGCAATAGGTAAGCAGCTTGGTTTGAAGAAATCAACTGTGGGAGCAATTATTAGGAAATGGAAGACATACAAGACCACTGATAATCTCCCTCGATCTGGGGCTCCACGCAAGATCTCACCCCGTGGGGTCAAAATGATCACAAGAACGGTGAGCAAAAATCCCAGAACCACACGGGGGGACCTAGTGAATGACCTGCAGAGAGCTGGGACCAAAGTAACAAAGCCTATCAGCCTATCAGTAACACACTACGCCGCCAGGGACTCAAATCCTGCAGTGCCAGACGTGTCCCCCTGCTTAAGCCAGTACATGTCCAGGCCCGTCTGAAGTTTGCTAGAGTGCATTTGGATGATCCAGAAGAGGATTGGGAGAATGTCATATGGTCAGATGAAACCAAAATATTACTTTTTGGTAAAAACTCAACTCGTCGTGTTTGGAGGACAAAGAATGCTGAGTTGCATCCAAAGAACACCATACCTACTGTGAAGCATGGGGGTGGAAACATCATGCTTTGGGGCTGTTTTTCTGCAAAGGGACCAGGACGACTGATCCGTGTAAAGGAAAGAATGAATGGGGCCATGTATCGTGAGATTTTGAGTGAAAACCTCCTTCCATCAGCAAGGGCATTGAAGATGAAACGTGGCTGGGTCTTTCAGCATGACAATGATCCCAAACACACCGCCCGGGCAACGAAGGAGTGGCTTCGTAAGAAGCATTTCAAGGTCCTGGACTGGCCTAGCCAGTCTCCAGATCTCAACCCCATAGAAAATCTTTGGAGGGAGTTGAAAGTCCGTGTTGCCCAGCGACAGCCCCAAAACATCACTGCTCTAGAGGAGATCTGCATGGAGGAATGGGCCAAAATACCAGCAATAGTGTGTGAAAACCTTGTGAAGACTTACAGAAAACGTTTGACCTGTGTCATTGCCAACAAAGGGTATATAACAAAGTATTGAGAAACTTTTGTTATTGACCAAATACTTATTTTCCACCATAATTTGCAAATAAATTCATTAAAAATCCTACAATGTGATTTTCTGATTTTTTTTCTTCTCATTTTGTCTTTCATAGTTGACGTGTACCTATGATGAAAATTACAGGCCTCTCTCATCTTTTTAAGTGGGAGAACTTGCACAATTGGTGGCTGACTAAATACTTTTTTTTCCCACTGTATGTTACCTAGTAAATGCAAGCACAAACACAATGTCATGTTACATTAAAATACCACCCATAGCACAATTTAATTGTTCATACATAATTACATAACCTTCATACATAATACAATCAAATATAAAAAGTAATATATTCCTTATTGATCACCATATAGAAACCCTAAACAATTTTCTAAATACATTTCCCAACACATGAATAGAGCTTTAATGCCTACTAAGATATGTCACACACACACACACACACACACACACACACACACACACACACACACACACACACACACACACACACACACACACACACACACACACACACACACACACACACACACACACACACACACACACACACACACACACACACACACACACACACACACACACACACGGCTACTTTATAGGGTCTATCCAAAGCAGCAGCAGGTGGGTTCCTTGTCTATCTTGTACTTCCCAGAGTCAGGCTGGTCTCTACACTCAGCCATAAAGGCCTGCAGCTGGGACACCAGGACTCTGTCCTTCTGGTGTTGCTGAAAAGAAACAGTATGGCAGTTAACTTTCTGAACATCTACATACAGTACTATACTATTACCATGTTGTATTGTGTGCTGTAACCTTACATATACCTGGAAGGAGAAGCAACATTATACCAGATCATTCAAGTAGCATCTTTTCTCATTGAACAGGCATACACAAGATAAACAGGGACGGTTACTTTTGATTATGTCATGCCATGTTAATTCAAGTCCAAAGCTGACCTTGATGGTTTCGTATGTGTCTGTGATGAGGGCAATGAACAGACTGAGCACCAGGTAAATGAAGAGAAAGATGAAGGAGTAGAGGTAGAGCCTGCTGAACAGCCACACCATGTTTCTCTTCCCTCTCATCTTCTGGAACGTGGAGTACAAGTCATCACCGTTGATCAGAGAGAACAGGCACTCCGTCACCTTGTCCAAGGTCCGGAACTGGTAGAAAATCAATTGGTAACACTTTGCATTAAGGTATGTTGTGTTATAAAGGATTTTTAAAGGGTTTATAAGTAGTTTATAAACTGTTATTAGTTATATGTAATAAACCATGGTAACACATTGTTTAAAATTGTAGCCCTTCATATACTGGACTGACCTTATATATGTGGATTCTAAAAGATCTTGGGCCCACATATACAGGTACTGTATTACCTTTTTGGTTTTTAGTGTACCTACTTACCTTCTCATGATACGGCCCCAGAACGATCCAGCCACAGAAACAGTAGCCCAGGTAGATCAAGCCAACGCAGCAGGAGAAGCGGATCACATTTGGAAACGCTGCCCTCAGGGTCAGAATTAGGATCTAGGAGGAACAAGGAACCTTACCCATCTATGTTTCACTATTTGAATATGTACTGTCCTTTATGAACTCTATGTACTGTAATGTTCCTATTCAAAGAACAAATCATTGCGGTGGTGCTGATGGAACATTGCTGTTCAATTTAGTTAATTTCTTATGTTAGTCCTTACGTTATATTTCTTAAAGAAACCCAGGTAGCGGATAACTCCAACCCAGACAAGCATTGTGGATGTCCCAAGCAAAATACTGCAGACATCATAGTTTGTAAGGTCCTGAAAAATACAGAAATATGAATGTCATATTGGACATACAGACACATGATCAAAATGTATGTGCTCAGGTGAAGCCACTACACCTTAGTCTGTATTCCTAGTTTGAGGGCGGATCCAGCGATGGTGAGTGTATCGCTGACGATGATCAGAATATACCAGCCATTCACAAACTCCATGCGCTCAGACCAGGACACAGTTTTACCAAAGTAGGTGTGGAAGAATGCAGTGTAATGCTGAATGAGAGAAATCACACCATAAGCAAAAACACATCAATATTAACGCTATTGCTATAGTGAGTAGGCCTACATGCTATCATGAGCTGGGTGTGCTTCTACTTGTATATTGTATGAATACCTGACCGTATTCATGGTATGTACAACCCTAATATTTAACCTATAAAACCTATAGAAGATGGTCTTCTTAACTTACAAATTGGAGCTGAGATCCATTGCAGACTGAGCGTGTGCACAAGATGAGTGAGGTAAAGCAGGCGAGGATGACGAGGGAATCGAACAGCAAGAGGAGGTGGTTGTTCTTCCCAGCTGCAAATTCAATCAAACAGTAAATTAGCTAGTGGAACTTTTCCTCATTCATATGGGATGGAGGCTGACAGATTACTGCCACTGAATATGGTAGGATCTCTACAGTAAATTTATGAAATATGGACTGTAGAAACTTGGAGGATGAACATGCTGAACAACAGATTATGAACATTTCCTAAATGTTTTAAATTGTGCCCCCTTCTGGCTTTGAGAGGCACAGCACTTGTTAGAACTACAGTATGTTACAAATAAGGAGACGAGACTGTCTGGCTCAGCTCACTAAACATTTTAAATCTTGACTACTGAGGTCACAAAGAATATAGCTATTACTCAGTCATATCGTATGCTGACTAATACAGTTAGTCAAGCAAAGCATTTTTTATATATTTTTTACCATACTGGGATGGTCTTATAAAATACTTACAAGTGCTTGCAACATTCCAGTCTTTACATTCATTGATTCCAACATTATTTTCTAAGTTAATCTTTATCCTCCCACTGTGTGCACGGTTGTCAAACATTATCTGCCAAAAATAAAGTCAGACAGAGACATCAATTGTTAGTGAGTTCTAGCAAGGATGACTGTATCCAGGCTTCAACAGCTGGATTTCTGCTGGTTTAAGTAACATTTTAAATGCACTATTACTAGAAAACAGAGAATTGACTAGTTATTCCATGACACAAATTAATCATTAAACTTTGGGGACTCGCTACTGGTTTCCATTTGTCTTCTCCATTGACACAGAGGACAGCTGCCACACACTTAAAAGCCTACACTTAAATGCCTAAAAGAGCTTGAGGAAGTGGTTTCCTGAGTCATACAACCCACCACCTACCATTATACTAAAGTCATAACAGTCTGGGAGCTCATGGTGGCGCACTGTCTGCAGGTTGATGGCTTTCAACGTGAGGTAGATGTTTACTGACAACAGCCTGAGTGAAAGACAGAGAAACATTTATGATTATTGAGTACAACAAAATAAACCTAATATAGGGGACCAACTGTAGTTTGACTGTTGGTCTGGTCAGTCACCTTTTAAAATCCAGAGAAAAGTTCATGTCTCTTGACAAAGTTTTATCCTCCAATGGCTCCAGAGGAAATATGGAAATACATTCTGTTAGAAAAAACACAAAGGTCTTCATAATATACTTTAAATCACTTTAATGACATGACACATTTAGGTCTCTACGCTTAAGATTCAGTGGAAACACTTGTAATGGTTACAAACAATTCCCAAACTTCCTGTTTCTGCAGTCACACAAATGAACTGACAACGAGATCCTTTTCCAAAATACTATACAGTGAGTGTATAAAACATTAGGAACTCTGCTCTTTCCATGACATAGATTGACCAGGTGAATCCAGGTGAAAGCTATGATCCCTTATTGATGTCACCTGTCAAATCCACTTCAATCAGTGTAGATGAAGGGGAGGAGACAGGTAAAAAAAAGTATTTCTAAGCCTTGAGAAAATTGAGACATGGATTGTGTATGTGTGCCATTCAGAGGGTGAATGGGCAAGACAAAATATTTAAGTGCCTTTGAATGGTAGTAGGTGCCAGGCGCACCAGTTTGAGGGTGTCAAGAACTGCAATGCTGCTGGGTTTTTCACGCTCAATAGTTTTCCTTGTGTATCAAGAATGGTCCACCACCCAAAGGACATCCAGCAACTTGACAACAACGGTGGGTTACACTGGAGTCAACATGGGCCAGCATCCCTGTGGAACGCTTTCGACACCTTGTAGAGTCCATGTCCCGACGAATTGAGGCTGTTCTGAGGGCATAAGGGTGTGCAACTCAAAATTAGGAAGGTGTTCCTAATGTTTTGTACACTCAGTGTAAATCTATCACAACAACAAACAATCTGGGCACTGACAGCTGTGGGAAGCCTGGGATCTATACCTATTTACAGATCCCTGGCTTCCCACAGCTGTCAGTGCCCAGATTGTTTGTTGTTGTTGTGGTAGATTTATACTGCGTGTACAAAACATTACAAACAGTCCACAGTCAGTGTTTGGTTGAGCATCCAAGCAGATATCTAACAGCTGGAATAGATTAACCCAACAAAATAACTTAAATAGAGTGAGGGGAAAAAAGTATTTGATCCCCTGCTGATTTTGTACGTTTGCCCACTGACAAAGACATGATCAGTCTATACTTTTAATGGTAGGTTTATTTGAACAGTGAGAGACAGAATAACAACAAAAAAATCCAGAAAAACACATGTCAAAAATGTTATAAATTGATTTGCATTTTAATGAGGGTAATAAGTATTTGACCCCTCTGCAAAACATGACTTAGTACTTGGTGGCAAAACCCTTGTTGGCAATCACAGAGGTCAGACGTTTCTTGTAGTTGGCCACCAGGTTTGCACACATCTCAGGAGGGATTTTGTCCCACTCCTCTTTGCAGATCTTCTCCAAGTCATTCAGGTTTGGCAACTCGAACCTTCAGCTCCCTCCACAGATTTTCTATGGGATTAAGGTCTGGAGACTGGCTAGGCCACTCCAGGACCTTAATGTGCTTCTTCTTGAGACACTCCTTTGTTGCCTTGGCCGTGTGTTTTGGGTCATTGTCATGCTGGAATACCCATCCACGACACATTTTCAATGCCCTGGCTGAGGGAAGGAGGTTCTCACCCAAGATTTGACGGTACATGGCCCCGTCCATCGTCCCTTTGATGCGGTGAAGTTGTCCTGTCCCCTTAGCAGAAAAACACCCCCAAAGCATAATGTTTCCACCTCCATGTTTGACGGTGGGGATGGTGTTCTTGGGGTCATAGGCAGCATTCCTCCTCCTCCAAACACGTCGATTTTGGTCTCATCTGACTACAACACTTTCACCCAGTTCTCCTCTGAATCATTCAGATGTTCATTGGCAAACTTCAAACGGGCATATACAGTGAGGGAAAAAAGTATTTGATCCCCTGCTGATTTTGTACATTAGCCCACTGACAAAGACATGATCAGTCTATACATTTAATGGTAGGTTTATTTGAACAGTGAGAGACAGAATTACAACAAAAAAATCCAAAAAAAACGCATGTCAAAAATGTTATAAATTGATTTGCATTTTAATGAGGGAAATAAGTATTTGACCCCGTCTCAATCAGAAAGATTTCTGGCTCCCAGGTGTCTTTTATACAGGTAACGAGCTGAGATTAGGATCACACTCTTAAAGGGAGTGCTCCTAATCTCAGTTTGTTACCTGTATAAAAGACACCTGTCCACAGAAGCAATCAATCAATAAGATTCCAAACTCTTCACCATAGCCAAGACCAAAGAGCTCTCCAAGGATGTCAGGGACAAGATTGTAGACCTACACAAGGCTGGAATGGGCTACAAGACCATCGCCAAGCAGCTTGGTGAGAAGGTAACAACAGTTGGTGCGATTATTCGCAAATGGAAGAAACACAAAAGAACTGTCAATCTCCCTCGGCCTGGGGCTTCATGCAAGATCTCACCTCGTGGAGTTGCAATGATCATATAATATAATATAATATGCCATTTAGCAGACGCTTTTATCCAAAGTGACTTACAGTCATGCGTGCATACATTTTTTTTTGTGTGTATGGGTGGTCCCGGGGATCGAACCCACTACCTTGGCGTTACAAGCGCCGTGCTCTACCAGCTGAGCTACAGAGGACCATGAGAACGGTGAGGAATCAGCCCAGAACTACACGGGAGGATCTTGTCAATGATCTCAAGGCAGCTGGGACCATAGTCACCAAGAAAACAATTGGTAACACACTACGCCGTGAAGGACTGAAATCCTGCAGCGCCCGCAAGGTCCCCCTGCTCAAGAAACCACATATACAGGCCCATCTGAAGTTTGCCAATGAACATCTGAATGATTCAGAGGAGAACTGGGTGAAAGTGTTGTGGTCAGATGAGACCAAAATCGAGCTCTTTGGCATCAACTCAACTCGCCTTGTTTGGAGGAGGAGGAATGCTGCCTATGACCCCAAGAACACCATCCCCACCGTCAAACATGGAAACATTATGCGTTGGGGGTGTTTTTCTGCTAAGGGGACAGGACAACTTCACCGCATCAAAGGGACGATGGACGGGGCCATGTACCGTCAAATCTTGGGTGAGAACCTCCTTCCCTCAGCCAGGGCATTGAAAATGGGTCGTGGATGGGTATTCCAGCATGACAATGACCCAAAACACACGGCCAAGGCAACAAAGGAGTGTCTCAAGAAGAAGCACATTAAGGTCCTGGAGTGGCCTAGCCAGTCTCCAGACCTTAATCCCATAGAAAATCTGTGGAGGGAGCTGAAGGTTCGAGTTGCCAAACCTGAATGACTTGGAGAAGATCTGCAAAGAGGAGTGGGACAAAATCCCTCCTGAGATGTGTGCAAACCTGGTGGCCAACTACAAGAAACGTCTGACCTCTGTGATTGCCAACAAGGGTTTTGCCACCAAGTACTAAGTCATGTTTTGCAGAGGGGTCAAATACTTATTTCCCTCATTAAAATGCAAATCAATTTATAACATTTTTGACATGTGTTTTTTTGGATTTTTTTGTTGTTATTCTGTCTCTCACTGTTCAAATAAACCTACCATTGAAATTATAGACTGATCATGTCTTTGTCAGTGGGCAAACGTACAAAATCAGCAGGGGATCAAATACTTTTTTCCCTCACTGTATATGTACTTTCTTGAGCAGGGGGACCTTGCGGGTGCTGCAGGATTTCAGTCCTTCACAGCGTAGTGTGTTACCAATTGTTTTCTTGGTGACTATGGTCCCAGCTGCCTTGAGATCATTGACAAGATCCTCCTGTGTAGTTCTGGGCTGATTCCTCAACGTTCTCATGATCATTGCAACTCCACAAGGTGAGATCTTGCATGGAGCCCCAGGCCAAGGGAGATTGACAGTTCTTTTGTGTTTCTTCCATTTGCGAATAATCGCACCAACTGTTGTCACCTTCTCATCAAGCTGCTTGGCGATGGTCTTGTAGCCCATTCCAGCCTTGTGTAGGTCTACAATCTTGTCCCTGACATCCTTGGAGAGCTCTTTGGTCTTGACCATGGTGGAGAGTTTGGAATCTGATTGATTGATTGCTTCTGTGGACAGGTGTCTTTTATACAGGTAACAAGCTGAGATTAGGAGCACTCTCTTTAAGAGTGTGCTCCTGATCTCAGCTCGTTACCTGTTTAAAAGATACCTGGGAGCCAGAAATCTTTCTGATTGAGAGGGGGTCAAATACTTATTTCCCTCATTAAAATGCAAATCAATTTATAACATTTTTGACGTTTTTTGGGGTTATTATTCTGTCTCTCACTGTTCAAATAAACCTACCATTAAAATGGATCATTTATTTGTTATTGGGCAGACGTACACAATCAGCAGGGGATCAAATACTTTTTTCCCTCACTGTACTGTTTATTTCCAGTCAATGTGGGCACATACACTACCGGTCAAAAGTTTTAGAACACCTACTCATTCAAGGGTTTTTCTATATTTTTACTATTTTCTACATTGTAGAAAAATAGTGAAGACATCAAAACTATGAAATAACACATATGGAATCATGTAGTAACCAAAAAAGTGTCATGTTTTCAAGAGTGTGCAAAGCTGTCATCAAGGCAAAGGGTGGCTATTTGAAGAATCTCAAATATAAAATATATTTTGATTTGTTTAACACTTTTTTGGTTACTACATGATTCCATATGTGTTATTTCATAGTTTTGATGTCTTCACTATTATTCTACAATGTAGAAAATAGTACAAATAAAGAAAAACCCTTTAGGTGTTCTAAAACATTTGACTGGTAGTGTATATTAAAACTAAAAATTATTCTCCCTTATCGTATATATTTTTTAAGATATCTAAACCATGTTATTATCCTCTCGTATAGAACACTTGAGGCTATCACTAAAAATAAATACATAATGAAATGGTGTGCTCTTGTACCTTTGTCGACATGTGGGTCTATGTCAAAGGTGTCGTTGCCAGGGGAGATGCTGCCTTTCCTGTAGAACTCCTGACAGAGTGTCAGAGGGGTGTACTCCCCCTCTATCTTCTCATAGGCATGGTTCCCTACCGTCAGGTTCTGCAGGTTTATAAACTGAAAATAGGAAAATATAGTGAGACATGATACACAACCATGTTCTTGGCCAGATTTGCCACAGGTCGCACAAATGAGGAAACGCACTATATTGTTTTGTCGTCAACATTTTTAGGGTAGCTATAATTTCACTATAAACTCCACTGTTTGAAAAGTCTCATATGACTCTGTGTAACAATTTTAGATGACACATCGGTGAATCAGCTACTGTATGCTTTAAATACTGTGCTGTAATCTACAGAAGACAATTAATCTACACTGGCAGCCAACAAACAGTGAGACAGACTTCACTGTTTTTATGTAAATTGAAGTCTACATTACCGTATCGATGATGTAATAGATGTGGTCGTACACATCTGTTTTGGTGTACACTGCGTATCTGTCCACATGTTGGTCCTTATATTCTTTCAGGAAGAGGTGTTTAAACACCATCAGGTTTTCCTCTTTAAAGGTCACCATCATCTCGTTACTCAATCCAAAAGACACTAACTGAGGAAAACAAACATGTAATAGATACATACATCAATTCTGCATAACACAAAGCATTTCAGATTTTTTCCTTGTATTAAGTGAATAAAATATTTTTGATTTTAGACATTCTCTTTCTAGGGACTTCCATAATTGTGAAATCCCACTTTGGCGCACAGTCATGGTTTAATGGGGAAATGGTTAAATCTTTGGGTATTTCACTTCTCTCTAAGTGTGTATATTGTACCTATATTTTACATGACCAACAGTAGTAGCCTAAGTCTCCTCCTACACTGTATTCTACAGTAGCTTACCTGGAACGTGATGATGGCAATTTTCAGAATCTGTAACATCAGTTTCCATGGTTTCCGGCCCCTGGCTCTATATTTTTCACAGGGGTTCATAAAGAAGTACTTGAGCCTCCTCCTGAAGTCTTCCACCACTTTGGAATCACTGGGGCTCTGTTTGGAGATGGGGCACAGGGTGCAGTGGCCGTTTGGGCTCCTCCCCTCTGCTGGCCCCTGGGGCACAATGGGCTCCACATCATCCATCTGTGCAAGGCGATCCTTCTATACTGTAGGTACCACTCGATTAGTCACACACAGATTTACATGACAGCCACGGTCAAGGGAAGAAGTGGCAGTGGTTAAAACGAATCAGCATTCTGATTGTCATTTCAGCTGGTGTTTAGTGAAACACAGGATTTCACCATCTTGGAATTATGAACTAGTACTAGGCTACTGAAACTAATATAGAGAGAGTCAGGCAGAGTCAATCAGACATGTTTCTGAAAGTGCAGAATGATTATTTACAATTCAATGTGATGAAAGAGATAGTGTTCAACCATTCCTTTCATTCTGATCTTCATCTAAACAGGTTTGACTGCATTCAATGACTTTTGTCACTGTCACGTTTTCTGCTCCCATGGGCTCCCATGGGCTGCATAAATTACACTAAAACATGACAAATTACACTAGCCTGTGATAATGATAATAAAGTGTCATTACCTCTAAGCAACTGTTAGCCTACTTATTTTTCAGTACTCATTAGCATGAAAATGTAGGCCTACAGCAGAGCAAACACATAAACAACTTTAAAAAATACTTTAGTAAATACCTTTAAAAAATGTAATGTGGTCCACATAAAGTTCCTGTTCAACTATAATTTATACTGTCTGTCTAACACAGGTGGCAAAAAAGACAAACATTTACTGTCCCAAATTACCAAATATAAATCAGGTTATAACCTCGTTAATTGCTCTTTGTATTTAAATGTCTTCAGCTTTATCATCATAACACTTTGCTAGGTCATTCCTACTAAATGTTTGCACATACGTAGAACATTTACCTGTAATCCAGAGCTGCACCTGCCGCGATCTACTGAGCAGCTTGTTTAGCGCGTGAACAAGCACATTTTTTCTGTCAACATCGGACAGAACAGACACGGAGACACTCAATCACTGTGACTGTCATTCTAGCGCGTCATTCGACGGTTTTCCTGTTTTTCCATAGTAGCGGGAAGATATTTGGGGTGGGGTATAAAAAACAAAATCCCCGTGCTACAGACAGCTATAGGTCCGCTAATAAAGGACTAATAAAGGCCCAGTGCACTACTTTTGTGTCCGCTAATACAGAACTAGTAAAGGCCCAGTGCACCACTTTTGTGAAAACATTTAATTGTCTAACTAAAAACATTTTTGCCCATGCTACAGATGGCTATATTGGTCACTAATACAGGACTAGTAAAGGCCCAGTGCAATTTTCATGTAATTGCCTAATTTACGTCTTAGTATCATACAATCATAATGAAACTTGGGCAAACAGAAAATAAGAATAGAATGTATTCAGATCTTTAACAAACATTAACATATTTTACCGGAAATTAGGAATGTCTCCTGTGTCTCATATTCCTTTGATTTATTTATAGGTCTACATTATCAAGATCTCCAACATAAAAAGTACAGATACAACAATTATCAAAATAGCAGGTATTAAAATGAAATAATCATTCTTCTTTTTGATAATAAGTAACACCATTGTACCATGACTCATTCATGCCCTATCACAATAAGAAAATTGATCTTAAGTTGTACAATACTCTAGTCAAGAGTAAAAACATAAACCATTTCAGTGTAGGTGTAACAGGTCAAAGAATTACAGATGTTTGCAACCGTTCATTTTCTATTTTTTATTTTATTTTGTGAGTTGATTTCACCAAAATATTGTATTGTTCAGCATTTCGTGTAGTTTACAGATATTGGGAGAGTTAGTTGTGTAAGTGCGCCCTCTAGAGTGTTGGTTTGGTTATATGCGGAGTTGTCTCATGATTTTCTCAGTCTGCATTCTACTCGACTGAGAGAGGTATGTGTTCACTTCGGCGTGACATAAACTTGATATACCTGTTAAAACTAAAACGTTTCAGTGCACATAGTAACTTGTATGTATATTATATGATGAGTGTACGTACATTTAATCAAGCTGTGTCGTGAATTTAGCTATTTTTGAGAGTTTGAGAAATTGCTAACTTAGCTAACCTCGTGTTTTGTTTAGCTGTAAGTTAGCAATCGTCATTCTATCCTCTTGTGTTGAAGCCCACGTTGTTCTTTTTATGTTAGGCGGATTCTGGTCGAGGGTAGAGTTTTGAACATTTTCTCTCCTTGATGTTGAACAGGTATGTATTCCCTATATCAGGTTAAAAAATATGTGTTCATTTAAAATGTTTTCATGTATTGATTAGTGTTTAATGGCACTGAAAAGCTCAAATGTGAAGGATTACATGTTGCTTCGTGCATATTACTGTATGTATTACCTATTTGAAAGATGGTTTATGTCATGTTGCACAGTATTAATGTAAAGGCTAAAAGCTCAGAGTTTTTGGCAGAGATAACATGCAATATGACACATACATAAGATATACACCAGATGCGATGTTTAGTTTCCAATTATGTTGTATTTTATTCCTTGGATTTTTGAATGTGATTATACTGAGTCTGCATTCTACTCGACTGAGAGAGGCGGATTCTGGTCGAGGGTAGAGTTTTGAACATTTTCTCTCCTTGATGTTGAACAGATTGAGAGAGTTGTACACAATAAAGTGCCTTCAAGTACGCCAGTGTCTTGTCTTCAGTGCACCGGAACACAACGCAGTAGTCGGCAACGAGCAGACCGCGCCGGCTACATTGGTGCCGTGACCCGGATATCTTCGCTTCAGATCATCGCCAGGGTGATCGCCGGTGGTTGCTGTGACGAGTAGGAACCTCTTCGGAACGTTGACGAGTATAAGGGCAAACATTAATGTGTAAATTGTAGCTCTTAATTGCTTACCTCAGCTACTTCTATCATTTTACAATTATTTTTTTCATATTCACATGTTCTGGTGATTCACATATCATTACCATAGTCTATTACAACTTTCTATTTTTTTAGAAAAATGACTGATGGTAAGGATGCGCAGACACCATTTAGTGTTGGAGATGCTGCAGGGGTAAGCCTGGGGAGGGGCAGGTTTATGAGTAGGGTGGAGAGCACGCCGGTTAGGGGTGCTGGTATACTAGGCAGACCTGTACTCTCGTCCACACGCTTACGCACTGATGAATATTCCCCCGCACCACACATGCGTAGCTTAAGAGATGCTCCAGACATTGCAAGCAGCGTTAGTTCAGTGGGCCGTCCTGCATTTTCATACACTCACACACAAACAGATGAACATTCTCCACGTCAGCCAGTGTCTAGTTCACATGTGAGTTCTGCAGACCTAGGGAGTCTCATCACACAGTTAGCTCATGAAATAGGAGAGACCATTGCTAGCCAATTACAGAGATCTGTTGGTAGTGCAGATAACCAAATCACTCCTACGCCTAGCCTGAACTTAGGATATGGACAGTCTGATTTGAACATGACAGGAGTAAAGTTAGTCATGAAGACAGATGTCAAAGAGCCGCCGTACTTCAGGGGTGATGGAACAGACAAACACACAGTGCATGAGTGGGAAGAGATTATGAGCGTTTACCTGAATAAGAGGGGTGTACACCCGCAAGAGCACTCCCAGGAGATAATGTCAAGACTAATGGGAAAGGCTAGAGACATTGTTAAAGTTACCCTGCGCAGTATGCCATCGCTGCAGCCAGCTGAGAACTCCAAGCTTGTCTTTGATATTCTGAAACAACATTTCAGTGAGTTAACCTACTCCTCTATGCCTCTAGCAGATTTCTATAACACACTTCCTCTGGCCGGAGAAAGTCCCATGGACTATTGGATACGCTTGAACAAGGCTGTGGATGTCGCAGATGAGTGTCTGAGAAGGCAGGGGCGAAACATTGAGGACCCCTCTCACGAAGTCACAATGATGCTGGTGAAACACTGTCCCGACCCCGCTCTTGCAAGTGTCCTAAAGTGCAAAACAGCTGAAAAGTGGACAGCAAATGAGATTCAGGAACACCTCGTTGAACATCAGAGAGAGGCTAGAACAATGTGTCAAGCCAAATCTTATCGGCCAAAGAACATTGGTGCACATGCTCAGGCATTAACCACAGAGACAGTCGCTGCTGAAAACCCAACAGACCTTACTGGTTACCCAAAGGCAATGGGGCTTCCATCCTCTCCTCAGACAGAGAGCATCTGCATGCAGTCTCTCATTGGCTTGCTGAACCGTGTGCTAGAACAGACGGCACACACAACAGCAGTCGTGCCACCAAGCAGGGGGCCAGCAGCCATTGTTCAGAGTAGATGTAAAGTCTGTCAGTCTGCCGAACATTCAACTACTGCACACTGTAGACAGGCGAACCTCTGTATGGGCTGTTACAAGCCCGGCCACTGGAAGAGAGAATGCCAACAGCGCCGGCCAAGAATTAACGCTCAGCCACAGTTAGCGCACACACCACCTAACTCTGAGCAAGGTGGAGCCAGTTTAAACTAGATAGCTCACATACGGAAAGGGGATGTGTGAGCGTTGAAGATTCAACCCTTGAAGAAAGTGAAGAATTGAAGGAGATGTATGTCAATGTCTGTAAAGCAATGTCTGATAATTGCACGGTAATTGTTCAGAATATTCACAGAGTTGAGACGTTCAGTGAGTTATTTCACGCACCGGTGACAGTTAAAGGCTGTGCTCAGTTGCAAGGGCTCCTCGATACAGGCTCAATGGCCTGCACGATAAGTGGCCTGCACGTCAGCCCACTATCAAAAGCTGCGCCAAGTTCTCACCGAGATGGAGGAACAGGAAATCATACGGAAATCAATGAGTGAATATGCTTCTCCACTCGTGATGGTTTGGAAGAAAAATGGCGACCTCCGGATATGCACAGACTTTCGATGGCTGAATGCAAGAACTATCAAGGATGCTCATCCTTTGCCCCATCAATCGGACTGCTTGGCTGCCCTTGGCGGTAATGCTGTCTTCAGCACCATGGACCTCACGTCTGGATTTTATAACTTGCCCATGCATGAGGAGGACAAAAAGTATACCGCCTTCACAACACCATTAGGCCTGCACGAGTATAACAGAATGCCACAGGGGCTTTGCAACAGTCCAGCGTCCTTCATGAGGATGATGC